TGAAAAGGCCAAAGCACTTTGGGAGAAGATCGATGCTCAATTATGCAGTATTCTGTGGCAATATATTGATTCCAAGTTGATGCCCTAGTTTCGTCCATTCCAGACATATTATTTGGTTTGGGAAAAGGCTCGCACTTTATACACTAATGACATATCTCATTTCTATGATGTGATATCGCGGATGACAAATTTAAAGAAACAAGAATTAAATATGTCTACTTACTTGGGACAAGTACAGGCAGTCATGGAGGAATTTGAGAAGTTGATGCCAGTTTCTGCTAGTGTTGAAAAGCAACAAGAGCAGCGACAGAAGATGTTTCTATTCTTACTCTCGCTGGACTTCCTAATGATCTTGACTCAATGCGTGATCAGATTTTGCCTAGTCCGACTGTCCCCACAGTTGATGAATTATTCTCTCGATTACTTCGCCTTGCTGCAACACCAAGTCACCCAATGATCTCATCACAGACACTTGACTTATCTGTTCTAGCATCCCAGACAGTGGACAATCGGGCATCTCAAACTATGAAAATAGACGAGGAGGAGGTTGTTTTGGAAGATCTAGACCCAAGTGCTCTTATTGTCATAAACTTGGACACACTCATGACGTGTGCTATTCTTTACATGGTCGTCCACCCAAAAATGCTTATGTTGCTCAGACAGAGACTACAGGTAACGAGGGATTTTCTTTATCTGAAGGGGAATATAATGAGTTCCTTCATTATCGAGCAAGTAAGCAAACATCTCCACAAGTAGCATTTATTGCTCAAACTGATACTTCTGTTGCTGGTAATTCTTTTGCTTGTATTTCGCAGTCTCCATGGGTCGTGGACTCAGGCGCTTCTGATCATATCTCTGGTAATAAATCACTTTTTTCAAATATTGTGTATTCACGGTCTCTTCCCACTGTTACTTTAGCCAATGGGTCTCAAACTAAAGCAAAAGGAGTTGGACAAGCTAATCCCTTACCCTCTGTCACTCTAGATTCCGTTCTTTATGTCCTTGGTTGTCCTTTTAGTCTTGCATCTGTTAGTCGTTTGACTCATGCCCTCCATTGTAGTATATATTTTATTGATAATTCTTTATTATGCAGGACCGCAGTACGGGACAGACGATTGGCACAGGACTTGAATAGAAGGCCTTTACTACCTTAACTCACTCAAATCCTCCAAGGCATGTCTAATTACAGATCCTCCAGATCTAATTCACAGACGTTTAGGACATCCAAGTTTATCCAAGCTTCAGAAGATGGTGCCTAGTTTGTCTAGTTTATCTACATTAGATTGTGAATCGTGTCAGCTCGGGAAACATACCCGAGCCTCCTTTCCTCGTAGTATTGAGAGTCATGCAGAGTCTAATTATTTTAGTTCATTCTGATATATGGGGTCCTAGTAGAGTCAGTTCAACCTTGGGATTTCGTTATTTTGTTAGTTTCATTGATGATTATTCAAGATGTACTTGGCTTTTCTTAATGAAAGATCGTTCTGAGTTGTTTTCTATATTACAGAATTTTTGTGCTAGAATCAAAAATCAATTTGGTGTTTCTATTAGCAATTTCGCAGTGATAATGCCTTAGAATATTCATCTTCTCAAAATCAGCAGTTTATGACTTCTCAAGTAATTATTCATCAGACCTCTTGTACTTATACCCCTCAGCAAAATGGGGTTGCAAAGAGAAAGAATAGGCACCTCATTGAAACTGCTCGCACACTTCTCATTAAATCTCATGTTCCGTTGCGTTTTTGGGGCGATGTAGTTCTCACAGCTTGTTATTTGGTTAATCGGATGCCTTCATCTCCCATCCAGAATCAGATTCCTTATTCAGTATTATTTCCTAGTCACCCTACTCTCTTCCCCCTCATGTTTTTGGTAGCACTTGTTTCGTTCATAACTTAGCCCCAGGGAAAGATAAGTTAGCTCTCCGTGCTCTCAAGTGTGTCTTCCTTGGTTATTCACGTATTCAGAAAGGATATCGTTGTTACTCACCTGATCTTCGTAGGTACATTATGTCGATGACATCACATTTTTTGAGTCTAAACCTTTCTTTATCTCTTCTGAAAACCTTGATATATCTGAGGTCTTACCTATACCAACCTTTGAGGAGTTTACTATAGCTCCTCATTCACCTTCCGCCACAGAAGTCTTACCCATTCCAACCGATGTGGAGTCTAGTGTGGCTCCTCCTAGATCCCCAGCCATAGGAACACCATTCTTGACTTATCATTACCGTCTGCGCTCAACATCAGGCCCAGCTGATTCACGTCCTGCACATGACCCTGCTCCTACTGCAGACTTGTCTCTCCCTAGCACACTGATTGAACTTTGGAAAGATATACGGACCACACTTAATCCTAATCCCCATTATGTTGGTTTAAGTTATCATCGTCTGTCATCACCTTATTATGCTTTTATATCTTCTTTGTCCTCTTTTTCCATCCCTAAGTCTACAGGTGAAGCATTGTCTCATCTAGGATGACGACAGGCTATGATTAACGAGATGTCTGCTTTACATACGAGTGGTACTTGGGAGCTCGTTCCTCTTCCTCCAGGTAAATCTACTGTTGGTTGTCGTTGGGCGTATGCAGTCAAGGTTGGTCCAGATGGCAAGGTTGATCGACTTAAGGCTCGTCTTGTTTCCAAGGGATATACTCAAATATTTGGGCTCGATTACAGTGATACCTTCCCTCCCGTGGCTAAGATAACATTAGTCCACCTTTTTCTATCCATGGTTGTTGTTCGCCATTGGCCTCTCTATCAGCTGGACATTAAGAATGTTTTTCTCCAAGGTGACTTTGAGGGGGAAGTTTATATGGAGCAAGCACTTGGGATTGTTGCTCAGGGGAAGTCTCGTGGCCTTGTATGTCACTTGTGTCGGTCACTTTATGGTCTAAAGCAGTCTCCTCGAGCCTGGTTTGGTAAGTTCAGCACAGTTATCCAGGAGTTTGGCATGACTCGTAGTGAAGCTGATCACTCTGTATTTTACCGGCATTCTGATTCAAGTCTCTATATTTATCTGGTGGTCTATGTTGACGATATTGTTATTAGCGGCAATGATCATGATGATATTACTAAATAGAAGCAACATCTCTTTCAACACTTTCACACTAAGGATCCGGGCAGACTAAAGTATTTCCTAGGTATTGAGGTCGCTCAGTCTAGCTCAGGTATTGTGATCTCACAGTGGAAGTATGCCTTACACATTCTTGAGGAGACAGGAATGACAAGTGGTAGACCGATTGACACTCCAATGGATCCGAATTCTAAACTTCTGTCGGTACAGCGGGAGCCTCTTAGCGATCCTGCAAGATATAGGCATCTGGTTGGTAAATTAAATTATCTTACAGACCTGACATTTCCTTTCATGTGAGCGTTGTAAGTCATTTTATGGATTCTCCCTGTAATGGTCATTGGGAAGCAGTTGTCCGCATTCTTCGGTATATAAAATCAACTCCAGGCAAAAGGTTATTTTTTGAGGATCGAGGCCATGAGCAGATCGTTGGATACTCAGATGCTGATTGGGCAGGATCACCTTCTGATAGACGTTCTACGTCTGGATATTGTGTTTTAGTATGAGGCAATTTGGTGTCTTGGAAGAGCAAGAAACATAATATAGTTGCTCGGTCGAGTGCAGAAGTAGAATATGAGCAATAGTTATGGCAACATGTGAGCTAATTTGGATCAAACAATTACTCAAGGAGTTGAAATTTGGTGAAATCAGCCAGATGGAACTTGTATTGCATCAAATTCGGTGTCCCATGAGAGGACTAAACACATTGAGATTGATTGTCACTTCGTTAGAGAGAAGATACTCTTAGGAGATATTGCTACAAAATTTGTGAAGTCGAATTATCAGCTTGCTGATATTTTCACCAAGTCCCTCACTGGTCCTCATATTAGTTATATATGTAACAAGCTCGGTACACATGATTTATATGCACCAGCTTGAGGGGGAGTGCTAGTTTGGTAGTTAAATAGTTACATGTAAATAGCCCTAATCCCATATGTAGTAGGAGTAGCACATGTATTATATATAAATAGGACTCATTGTATCATTGTTAGAACATGTGAATAAAATATTCTCCCGTGCTTTCTCACAAGTCCTTTGGCTTAGCAAGCAGAACCTTATTCAAAGCCATTAGCAGAAGTTATAATAACTTTTAAAGAGACATGCATGCTATCAAATAAGTGCACTTAAACTCAAAGTATCATATATAAGCTAATAAGATAAGCTCAGAGCTCATAACTCAAAACTGGTACTGTTCTCAATTTTCACAACTCTTTAGCTCAAAATGGTTATCTTACTCTTTTATGACTAAGGGAGGCATCTGCTAAGTTCTGTGTTTCTATCCTGATCAGTTAAGGCAGCTAATCATTCATACTGTATAGGAAAGTAATTCACTTTGAGTTATACACACATATAGAAATGCCCAAGCTTTAAATTATAGTAGTAGTAAGTATCTAAGTTGCTCGGACACGGATGCGGGTGTCCGACACGGGTGCAGATCTAGTGGTCAGATCTTTCGAGATGTAAATTCTAAGATTCAGGGATACGGATCCTAGTACAGACATAGGTGCGGAGATCCAACTAAAAATAATTCAAAAAAATAAAAATGTAAAAAAATCTCTAAATTATGATAAATTTTGTGGAATACTTACGTATAGCTTGTAAAGTGTGAATTTCTCTTTTTTTTTCTCAAGTTGTAGATAGGTAAAAGATTGATTTCCCAGATAAGGTATGCTATTTTCTTCAAATTTACCCTAGTTTTGGTTCTGATTCGGGAATTAAATTGTATCTCGTCTCAAATTTTTCCGTTTGTCATGGCCAAAGTACCCAAAATTGTCCGGTACGGATCCCATACCCACACCCATACTAGTGTCTTGCCGACATGGGATGCGGCCCCTCAACTTCCGTGTCGGAGCAACTTAGGTAAGTCTCAGTCAAAAACATGCTTATAAGATATAATAATAAGATTGCTCACTTGTGATAAAAACTTCTGAACTTAAGTTCGAAATCCATCATGTATGGATAAAACATTCATTGGCATTTCTTCAAACACGTACCATCCATTCATATAAAAGTTTGTCCCTACATTCTTTACAAAGCTTACTCATATGCAAGGCCAAACTTGATTGGAACATCAATTCATTTCAAGATAATGACAAGTGTACAAAACTCATGGTGATTTGGTCAGAATTTTCTATCGTAGAGTTATTACTCGCTTCAACTCCAGTTGGATCAACTATGACATTTCGTCGGATGCTGTATTTGCAAATATTTAGGTTAAGGAAATTGATATTTAATAACTCTATAATAAAGTTAGTGCTTAAATAGGAGTAAGCATGTCTAAAAAAAAAATGGAAAAAGAAGATAATTAGTTGAAGTATAATTCAAGAATGTACTAAAAGTGTACAACTAAGATCATAAAGAACAATGCTAAGGTTTTTTCAACCCAGTAGCAGAGGTCTTTATGAGGAACAGCAGCTAAAGATTAGCAATCTATTGAACCTATAATTTTCAAAGGTGAAGCTTACATGAAATATATACTTGTAGGTATTCCTCCTCCGCACTTTTGGATTCTTGACCTTACCATGATCAGTCTTCCTCGTCCTCCTCTCCTTCAGTTGTATGTTCTTCATCCTAAAGAAGAGTGTAGTTAAGTTAATAACAACAATAACAAGATGAATAAATGAAATAGAAACAAACAAGATTTCCTGATTAATATTAACTAATAATACTCAAGTAAATATAATAAGCATTGTGAAACAAAGAGAGTTAGCTGTGAATTCTTACAAATTCTTGCAACTCCTCTTCTTCCTTTGCTATTTGTTCTGCTACTTCTTTCATTTTCTTTGCACGCTGAAGAGAAGTTGCACGAAAGAAGACCCAAGATAAGACAAATATAAATGAAATAGAAACTGACACGATAACTGGATTAATTTATTTCATGTAATCGGTAATAATAAAACTCAAATGAATGTACGAATTATGAAACAAAGAGTGCAAGCTAGGTTAATCCACAAGGGGTATTTGTCATGGAGAAAAGGGATGCTTATGAAATTGAAGCAATACAATTCATTACTAATATCTCTATCCCTTTTTCTACAGTACTGAAGTTCACTGCATTCTTTTAATAGTTAGAATTTTAAAAGGGTGAAAATCATTTTGATCCCCCAACTTCACCTTAAAATTAAACTCCTCCTCTAACATTAAACAATAGACATTCTGCTCCTCGAAAATTAAATATATTTTTAAAATGCCTATTTTATCCTCAATCTTATCGGCCTTGATCTTACGATACTTTTCTTAATCTATGTTATAAATTTACCTATAGTGAAAATAATTCTTATTCAAAATTTTAAAAAATGAAAAAAGATAATCAATCATATATAATTTATTGAAATTTAATAATGAAAGATATGGGCACAATTAAAATATTATAATAATAGATCTTATTAATATCAATCAAATATTAACTATATTATGTTTTGTATATTTTCACTAACTCATATGTTCTGTATATTTTCACTAACTCATTACTAGTTTGTTATAGTTTGAATAAGTCTCCTAATGTTTTGGAACATATCTAGTAGTAGTTATTAGTTCCTATTATGTGGGAGCTTCTTTAGCAGATAGTTGCCTACACTTTAGCTTTAGTTGGTTGTAGTTCATGTATTTAAAAGCCTACTGCCAGATTCGATAAGATAATCCTTTGAGCTCTTTCTCATCTAAATCTTATATGGTACCAGAGTTTCAATAAGCTCCACCGAGTTAGATCCATTTCATTTCCTTTAAGCTTTCTCATCTATGGCTCCAGTTACCAACTCTAGTGATGTTGCTGCTGCCAGCCAGCAACCTCTGACACCACTAATGTGGTACAATTTAATCTTGTTGCTCAGTTACCTATTAAACTACAAGGTAACCTCAATTTTCCAACATGGAAAGCACAACTTGTGATGCTACTAAATGGGCATCAACTCATGGGACATCTTGATGGAACCACAACTGCTCCATCGCGTACTATTACCCAATATGATCATACTGTCGCAAATCCCAATGATTAGATCTAGTTTTCTCATGATCAATTGAATCAACAAGCAATGACGGCATCGGTCGATCCCACCATTGCCCCAACTGTTGCCACATCACCATCTGCTAACAAAGTGTGGCAACTCCTTCACACGGCTTACGCCAACAAAAGTCATACTCGCATCTTTAGTTTGCGGGATCAACTGCAAAATACCAAGAAGGCTTCTAAAACCATTGCAGAGTACTTACAGGAGGTTCGTTCTCTCTCTGATGCTCTCAAAGTTGTTGGTTCACCTGTCAATGACAATGAACTAATTGTCAAAAATCTAAGTGGCCTTGGCCCCGAGTACCGTGAAATCTCTGCTGCCATATGCGCACGAGACTCTTCTTTGAGTTTTGAAGAATTATTTCACAAGCTCACAGATTTGGAAAAATCATCCTCTATGATCACAGCTGTTGTTGCCCAGAAATCTAACACCCCTCCTCAATTCAACAGGATCAATCCTCGTTTCAACAATAAGCCATGGAAACCGCCTCAGTCTCGATAATGGAATTCCAACAATCAACAATCGAATTCCAACAATCAGCAAAACAGGAGACAATTTAAGCAATCTGTCAAATGTCAATTGTGCCAAAAGTTTGGTCACGCAGTAGATGTTTGTCGCTCCAAGTCGCACAATTGTCTTGAAGCTCAGGCTAACTTTGTGTCTGGCCTGCAATTGACCGGAAACTCTTGGGTCCTAGACTCTGATGCAACTCACTATGTCACTACCGAGCCTCACAACCTTGAAGAGTATATGGGAACAGAAGAAATATCCATGGGTGACAGTAAAACCATTCTCATTACTCACACTGGTTCAACTCTAATTAAAGTATCTAAAACTACTTTTAAGCTTTCTGACACACTTTGTGCTCCATCAATTGAAAAGAACCTCATTTCTGTTGCTAAGTTTTGTCAAGATAACCTCACATCTATTGAATTTTTTCCTTTCACTTTCGTTGTGAAGGACCTGCATAAAGCAAAAATGGACTCTATGAGTGGCCGAGTCTGCTATCCAAGAAACCATCCATTCACCTTGCCTCCACAAAAGCCCCACTTCAACTTTCGCACTGTTGATAGGGTCATCCCAATATAGAATTTTAACTTTTATTCTGAAGAAATTTTCTTTACCTGTTACTAGCAAAGAAAAGTTTGAATTTTGTAATGCTTGTTCGTCTAATAAAGCGCATCGTTTGCCATTCCAACGACTCACTTTGTCCAGTAATATTCTTCTCAAGATTGTCTTTAGTGATTTATGGGGACCATCACCCGTTTTATCGCTCTACAAAAAGTTATATTACTGCATTTTTGTTGATCAATACACCAAATGTAATACACCCTTAAAAAATAAAAGTGAGGTTGCGTCAATATTCACCAAGCTTTATTCTTTAGTAGAAAATTTCTTCAATTTATACAGACGGAGGGGGTGAGTTCATCGATCTTCAGCCCTATCTTCAAAAACATGGCATTGAACACTTAATTTCACCTCCATACACACCACAACGTGTTGCCATAGATGAACATCGACATGCCATATTCTTCAAACGGCTAAAATCCTTCTTCATGAAACAGCCTTACCACATGAACTATGGTCTTTTGCCTGTCATTATGTTGTCTACCTTATTAATCGACTTCCCACTTCTATCCTAAATAATGAGTCACCCTACCAAATATTATTTGGTCTCTAACTATAACACCCTACGAATTTTTAGTTGTCTCTGTTACCGTGGCTCAAACCTAATACCAAAAATAAACTTGAACCCCGGTCCACCCCTTGTGTGTATTTAGGTATGTCGCAAACGCAGTATGCTCATATCTGCTTTGACCCACTCCAGTCCAAAATTTTCATAAGTCGTGATGTCCAATTTTTTTGAAAAAGAATTTCCTTATAAAAAGATGTTCATCCAATTACGAAAAAATACTTCACAATTACGTTGGGAAGTTGTTGACTCCAAAGAGGACAGTCCAACAACAGTTCAATCTCCTCCCCACTCTATTCCATCACTTATCCCACTCCCTATAGAGTCCAACTCTCAAAATACTACTTATTCCAGTAGCGACGCTCACTCTAACAGCACCAACCAAGTACCAACAGTTGTAGAGACATCAGGTAATACCCAACTCCCTGCTCTTTCTTCTTCCCAACTCCATGCTCCTTCTTCTTCACAACTCCCTGCCCCTTCTTCTTCGTACAACACTGCTACAAATAAAACCTTTGCTCACATATCAGAGACGCAAAACACAGCTAGCAACATGCCATCCCAGCAACCACTCCCGACCATCAGAGAAGCCACTTGTCCACCCATATAAGTTCCAAATTCCACAAACCCATCAGTAATTGATCCCTCCCCTAAAATACCTGTTGCCCCGAATTCCACCACCACCACCAAATCGAATTATAACTAGGTCCCACTACAATATCTTCAAGCCAAAAAGCAACTATCTTTTCTGACTCATTTGGCTCCTACTCCTGTAACTTTCAAATAAGCCGATAAACATGAAGAGTGGAGACAAGCAATGAAAGTAGAGTATGATGCTTTGATAAAAATCAGACATGGGAACTGGTACCGCGAGACACGTCCAAAAGTGTTGTGGACTGCAAATGGTTGTATCGGATCAAGAGAAACACAGATGGTTCTATAGACCGTTTCAAAGCTCGTCTAGTTGCTAAAGGGTTTACCCAGCGCCCTGGCTTAGACTTTCATGAGACATTCAGTCCTGTTGTTAAACTGACAACGGTCAGGTTGGTGCTATCTATAGCTGTGCAACACAATTGGTCCATCAACTTGATATCAATAATGCTTTCCTACAAGGAAAACTGGATGAAGAAGTTTTCATGTCTCAACCCCGAGCTTTTACTAATCCGCAATTTCCGACTCATGTTTGCAAATTGAAGGAGGCTATTTATGGCCTCAAACAAGCCCCCAGGGCTTGGTATAATGCTCTGCGTGAACATCTGTTGAAAATGCATTTTGTTAAAACAGAATCCGACACCTCTTTATTTGTGTGGAAGCATGTGGCTGAAACTATTTATGTGATTGTCTATGTCGATGACATCATAATCACTGGAAACCATCCACAAGTGATTAAATTTGTCATCAGTTCCTTGGCAGAAAGACTTTCGATGCAGTGTTTAGAAAAGCGTGCGCTTCGTCGCTTTAAGCGTGAAGCGACGCGACGCGACCCAGTATCGCTTCTAGCTGCCTGAGGCGACTCGATCTGTGGAAGTGCACGCTTCAATGGAGAAAGCGACGAAGCGACGGAAGCGAAGAAGCGATCGCTTCTGTATAAAAAGCGCAGAGGGCCAGTTTTAAAAAAAAAAATTTGGGTCTGTTTTTCTATTATACATAACAGACCCCTAAATCGACAAAAATACTCTTCCCCTTCGACAAAACAGTAACATCGAGAAAACAGTCACAACACCTAGGGTTTTACCTGCTGAAGCTGAAGATCGAGAAAACAGAGACGGCATTTCCGACCCTTTCTCTCTCACTCGAGCTCGACCCATTCTCCTTTCTCACTCGCGGCTCGGCCAGTCCAGGACCCAGGTAATTTCTTCTTCTCCTTTCTTCTTCAGTTCTTCTCGTTTTTTTCTTTTTTCTTTCTTCTTCTTCTTCTTCTTCTTCTTTCTTTCTTTCTTTCTTTCTCCAATCCAAAACAGAGTAACCATTTTTCTCTTTCTTTTTCCTTTTCATTTTAGTGTATATTTAAGCATATAAATTTAATTACTATATGTATTTCATTTTATTATTATATTTCAGCATATAAAATTAATTATATATACGTTATATTTTCAGTTTATTTGATTAATTTTATATGTACTTCATTTTAGAAAATTTATTATTATTTAAATATATTATATGTATTTTCAGTTTATTTGATTATGTATTTTCTTATATCTTAATAGGGACTTCAAAATGTCTCAAAGTTCTAAAGAGAAAGACCCGGCTTGGCGATATGGCGATAGAGTTAATGAGAAGAATACAAATGTTGTATGCTAGTTTTGTAACAAGACGACAACAGGTGGAATTTATCGCTTTAAATACCATCTTATTGGTGGCGATAGAAATGTCATAAGTTGTCCGAAATGCCCACCGGAGGTGAGGGAAGAAATAACGAATTTTGTTGAGAAAAAGAAAGGAGCAAAAAAATCAAACGAGTCATCAACCAATGGTGACCAATCTTGATGATGATGATGATGACATTGAAGAATTGTCACTTCCAACAAAACGGGGAAGAGATGCAATCTCTTCAAGCCATGGATCATCGACTAAAGGACCTATAGATTGCTATTTCCCAAAGAAGCCGGAAGCAAAGATTGGTGGAAAAGATGTACAAAAAATTGCTAAGACATTATGAGGGATCGTGCAGTTAGAGCTTTTGCACGATGGGTCTATGATGCTGGGCTCCCCTTCAATTGTGTCAACTATGACACTTTTGGAGACTTTATTGAGGCCGTTGGTCAATACGGACTTGGAATGACGCCTCCCACTTATCATGAAATAAGCGGTCCTTATCTAAATAAGGAAGTGGAGGAGACTAATAAAATTGTTGAAGAGCATAAAGTTGTGTGGAACAAGTATGGCTGCTCCATTATGATGGATAAGTGAACGGCAAGAACTAGGAAACTGATTATTAATGTGTTGGTGAATTCTCCCAGGGGAAGTTTGTTTCTTGAGTCCATTGATGCTAGCGGCTCATCCACTGACCACATCAAAATGTTCACCTTGTTTTAGAACACCATCGAAAAGATTGGCCCAAGCAAAGTTGTTCAAGTGGTCACTGATAATGCAAGTGAAAATGTGAAAGCGGGTGGCATGATTGAAGGAGCGTACAAGAATGTCTATTGGACTCCATGTGCGGCTCATTGTATCAACTTGATGTTCGGGTACATTTTCAAGGAAAAACCCTTCTCTATAGTTTTTGGCCAGGGCATTAGGGTACATTCTTATATTTCTCAGCGGCCCTTGTTATTGAATATGATGAGAAGATTTACCATGCAAAAAATTTGGTGAAACCAGGCAAGACAAGGTTCGCCACTGCTTTCTTCACTTTGCATAGTATCCACTTGCAAAAAGGCAATTTGAGAAAGTTGGTCACTTCAGAGGAATGGAGCAAGAGTAAATTTGCAAAGGGAAGTGCGGGGAAAGAGGTTGCACGCATTATTCTTTCTTATTCTTTTTGGAATAATGTCCTTCATGCTCTTAAAATTGGTGGCCCTTTGATTAAAGTACTCCGTTTGGTGGATGGGGAGCAAAAACCACCAATGGGCTACCTCTATGAAGCTATGGATAGGGCCAAGGAAGCTATTCAAGCATCATTCACTGATGAGCAGACCTTTGCATGCAGCTGGACTAATTGTGAACCCGTCACTCTTTTATGATCAGCATGAGAATAATGCAAGATGGAATGAGCAACTTCATAGACCTTTGCATGCAGCTGGACTAATTGTGAACCCGTCACTCTTTTATGATCAGCATGAGAATAATTCATTGGCTAAAGAAGTGTGGACAGGATTCCATCAGGTTGTTATCAAGTTTGACCCCAGATGAAGACTTGCAAGAAAAGATAGTAGATCAGCTTGCTACTTACAACGCAGCTGAAGGACTTTTTAAGCTCCAACTTGCTATTAAACAAAGAAAGACGAAGTCGCCAGGTGACCAAGTGTTTCTATATTTTATAGCTCTAACTTTAATATATTTTTTATACTTATTAACTCTTGAACAGTTTTTTTGACTTCTATAGTTGAGTGGTGGGACCAATATGGTGTAGAGACTCCGGAGTTACAGACTTTCGCCATCAAAGTCCTAAGTTTAACTTGTAGCTCATCCGGATGTGAAAGGAACTGGAGTGTTTTCGAACACGTGAGAAATAAAAAGAATTATTTCGTGTTTTGAGATAAAGTAAATTATATCTCAATTGTCCAAACTCCTACTAATTAGTTGACACATCTTGTTTGCAGACTCATACAAAGAAGAGGAATCGACTAACCTTGAAGCGCCTCCATAATCTAGTGTTCATAAAATACAATAGAGCATTAAGGCGTAGCTACAACCACCGCAATATAATTGATCCAATTCTTTTGGACAATATTGATGAGGCTAATGAGTGGCTAACCGAAGTCCTCGAAAATTGTGAAGGTGAAGAAGTATTTGAAGGCGACTCTAATTTCACTTGGTGTGATGTTGCGGTTGGTGGTTGAATTGGGGAGAATCCTTATGGTTTAAGGAGATATACTCCAAGTTCAAGCTCAATTAGGAAGGGAAAAAGTGTGGCTACTACAAGTCAATCCCTATCCCTAATTGATGAAGATGAAAGTGATCATGAATAGGAGGGGGAAGAAGAAGATGACGAGCAATATGAAGATAATAGAGGAATTCAAGATTTTGACAATCTTGAAGAAGAAGAAGAAGAAGAGTAGAAGAATAAGATGTTGATTCTAGTAATTTAGTAGCTTTGATTTTGCTCGTCCTATGGTTTGTGGATGATTTGGTGGTACCTAGTACCTACTTTTAAGTTTTTAAATTGAAGTTTTTGATTATTTATAATTTTACATTATGTTTTTTAAGAATTGTGCTTCACTTTAATAAAGCGTGCGCTTCGCTTTTGAAGCGAGGCGAGCCCTTGTCACTTTTTTGCGCTTCGCGCTCTCAAAAACACTGTTTCATTGAAGGATCTTGGTTATTTAAACTACTTCTTGGATGTTGAAGTTAAGAAAGCATCAGATGGTCTCATTCTTTCTCAATCAAAATACATTCGGGCCTTCCTTCCAAACTGGATATGGACAATTGCAAAGGTATTTCTACTCACATGTGTTCCAGTGTACCACTTCGACTAGGTAATGGTTCTCCACCTACTGATGCCACGCGTTACCGGTGCACCCTGGGAAAGTTGTAGTATTTGTCCATCACTCGGCCTGACATCTCTTATGTAGTCAATAATATGTCGCAATTTATGCATGCGCCGACTGGTGATCACTGGAAAGTGGTTAAAAGAGTACTACAGTATCTCAAAGAAACAGCGAGTTCAGGACTTCGCATCCTTCGCAGCTCTGACTCTAATTTGTACATGTATGTTGATGCGGACTGGGCAGGCGATCAGAATGACAGAATCTCTACATCAGGTTACATCCTTTTCTTTGGACCAAATCTACTTAGTTGGTCATCAACAAAGCAACATGTTGTGGCTCGCTCATCCACCGAGGCAGAGTACAAATCAGTGGCCAATGCACTTTCGTAGCTCACTTGGGTGCGAAACTTACTGCATGAGTTACATGTTACCATTTCAAAGACGCCAACAATCTATTGTGACAATGTTGGAGTAACGTATTTATCTCAAAACCCAGTGTTTCATACCCGTATGAAACATGTTGCTGTAGATTGTGCATATGTCCGTGACCAGGTTCAAGCTCAGCAAGTTCATGTTACTCATATTCATGCTTGTGATCAACTTGCTGATACCTTCACCAAGCCACTACCTAAATCAGCATTTACTAGGTGTTGTTCCAAGTTAGGCATTATTGCACCATGCCTAACTTGAGGGGGTGTATTACCTATATTATGTTCTGTATATTTTCACTAACTCATATATTCTGTATATTTTCACTAACTCATTTACTAGTTTGTTATAGCTTGAATAAGTCTCTTGATGTTTTGGAGCATATCTAGGAGTAGTTATTAGTTCCTATTATGTGGGAGCTTCTTTAGCAGATAGTTGCCTACAGTTTAGCTTTAATTGGTTGTAGTTCATGTCTTTAAAAGCCTGTTGCTAGATTTAATAAGATAATCCTTTGAGCTCTTTCTCATCTAAATCTTATAAGGAGGAGCACAATGTCTATTGTTTAATGTTGGAGGAGTTTGATTTTTAAGGCATATTTGGGGGATCAAAATGATTTTCACCCAATTTTTAAAATAGTGACAATTATAAAGAAAAATTTAAATTTAAAAAAAAAGGGATTTCTGTTTGAAAGGGAAATTTTGCCACATAAATAGAGGCATGCATGTACCGAAAGGACAAAGGAAAACATCATTATATTTGATGGTAATATACCAATGTAAGGAATTGTAAAACGAACCTGTTCCTCAAATCCTTGGCATATGGAGTTATTTATGTCATTCACGGGAAAGGATTTATCATCTATTTGAAGTTCATCTAATCTTGGTGTGCTTATGTATCCTTGAGCAAATATCTGCATTTCACTACAATAGTTGATCGTCACAGTTTTCAGTGAGAGCAATTGTAGATCATGTTTTCTTTGGCTAAAGCTTCCCAACTTTGGTAACTCTTGTAGTTCTAAAACTTCCAATTTAGGAAAGAGATGTTTCATGCTCATTCCTTCTCCTCCTTCATCTTCTACAATTACGGCTTCAATACTGAAGCAACAACGTATCTTTAGCTTCTTCAAATTCACCAAGGCCCCGATTGAAAAAGAAGAAAACACGTATTTGATCTCGTGGCAGCCTTGAATAAATAAATTTTGTAGTTCACTGAAGTATTGTGTGTTTGAAAGTTGGTGGTACCATAACTTACTCTCTAAATTCAGGAGTACCATACTCTCCAACCCTCCAAATGAAACCTATTAAATCAATTTCAACAGCCATATTGTGATCGGGTTAATATTCCAGTAGACATTGAAGAAATTAAATCGTGCAACAAGATATAATAGTACAGGGAGTTTGCTAATATGCAATATTTCAACGAAGAGGGAAAATTGTCTATCAAGTACCAAGTGGAATAAACTTTTAATAAGTTCTGCACTCCTCACATACCAAATGATAAGGTATATATACAACTAATTGAAAATGACATTCAAGGCTAAGCGATGATTAATCAAATGCTGCAGTTTCAGAGCAATTTCAACAAAATACAGCAAAATAAATAAGTAAATAAGAGCCAACATTTGATGATGTGGATCTAGCAAAGTTCTTGCCCTTGAGGAAAGACAGTCTCAGATGGGATGCACCTCTATTTGGTTGGACTACCTATTCTAAAACCACTAATGGATTTTCAATGATCATTCTCTATCTCATATTACATTTACTTCTCAATTAAATAGTAATTTATTGAACTTCTGATACATGTGAAAAAAAGGCTTATGCTTTAGAAATTTGACCAACAGAAAGTCTTAAATCTTTTCTTCTGGAGTAAACTGAAGTTTCATAGAATCTGCATGCTAAAGCTAGAATGTTATATCTTTGCGCAACATACAAAAGTAAAGGTTATTTATTAGCTAAACAGTGCTCTTTCAAAGTAAAATGCCTATTTATTTTACACATAGGTCATTACTTTCAATTGCCAATTTTAGGGGTGGCAAACAGGGGGTCGGGTTGGATATGGGACGGGTCAGAAACGGGTAATGAAAAAACGGATAAATTATCCGACCTGACCCATATTTAATACAGATAAAGAGCGGGTTAACCGGCGGATAATATGGGTAACCATATTATCCATGCCTTCATGAATATGATCACTTTTGGGAGAATTTCTAGTCTCCCAAACTTGAGGAACCCCCAATTGAGGCTTTACAAATGTAAAAGTTAAATTCATTAACTATCCATTAGTTATCCATTTTCTAAATGGATAATATGGTTCTTATCCATATCTGACCTGTATTTAAAAAGTTATTATCCAACCCATTTTTTAGTGGATAATATGGGTGGTTAACTGTTTTCTTTTAACCATTTTGCCACCCCTAGCCAATTTGTATAGGAAAAAATAAATAAAGATTTAATACCTGGAATAGTATAAATAAAAGCTCTAAAAAAGGCATGTTTACGCACCTTACTTCCAAATAGGTAATGCATGTCACTGGATTGATCTCCATCTGTGGGAATCACAAAACCTTTTAAGTTGTTCGAGGCACTAATGTATATTTCATTCAAATTTGGGAAGTCAATGTTGTTAGCCCCCTTGCAAAAACTTACCATTGCCGGTAAATAGCTAAGTTTCAACTTCCGCAACATCGGAAACTGGATGTCACAGATCTGACTTTGATCAGCTCCTTCCACCTCATTCTCCTCTAAAACAAATACGTGTTTCATCTCATTACAAACAACAAATGACATATTTTCAACTTGCTGTGCAAAAGTCCTGGCCACAGCTAGTGAAGAGAAATGAAGTAGTCTCTTGCAGAAGCCTACATATACTGCTTTCAAGTTATAACCAAATGGAACCTTTTGCATATTTTGTGAAACAACAGACCTTAAATCTGGCAGGTCTGAGAGAATTAGACTTGTCAAATGAGGAAATAGGGAGGTTTCAGAAACCTTTTCTCCTTGTTCTTCTTCATCCTTTGCACTTGGAGCATCATCATTCACAACATCCATAAACAAACAAGGAGCCACATTCTTGCATTTCGACATACTTAAAGAGTCAAGTTTTCTGAAGCAGCATCGGGAAAGTAATTGGTTGTGAAAGAGCATTGCGTCATCCAAATCGTAGAGTTCCAGATGCCTTAAACTTCTCAATGTGTCCTACCAAATAATCATCTTTTACTGATTAAGTAGTTATAAGCAATCATGCTGGATAAATAAGAAGAAAAAAGACATGAACATGAGTGCTGATGTTATGAAGTTAAAAGATAGAGAGAGAATGTGAAGCAGACATTTCTTGAAAGCTCAAGTTTCTTACCCCCAAAGAATTCCAATTTGTAGATGGAGACAGATTCCTGCTATTATGACATTGATAAGGTATATATGGATAAATAACCTGATTTCAGTACTTGTACTACTACTAAAATATGATCTCTAGATTTGTAAGACATTCTTTTTTTTTCCCTTTGTGTCTATACTAGACGCCCAAATGATTGGAAATAGGTAAGTATCCACTTTAATCCTTACAATATTTTATCCACTAACTAAGAGGCAACAAGCAGCACTTACTTCTACCAAAAAATTTAAGTTATAGACGAAAAAGAGCCGATGTTTTGGGGATAAAAGGAAATTAATGTAAAAGTAATACAGTTGATAAGAAACTGGGCGTAAGTTGTGCACCTCTTTTCTGAAAAGGGATTGCTTGTTCGCACTATGGTTGGGTTCTGTTGAAAGGCTGTCATCATTGGGAAAGAATCCTCTGATGTTAGGTAATTTGCTGATAGTCAGGGTATGTAAGCTAGGGAGCTGGATGCCGTGAATCTCATTGCAGAAACAATTTAGTGCTTCTAAATTGTAAAGCTCTATTTTCTCCAATCTGGGGAACTTGACCTTATCAATCTGGATTCCACGTCCACCACCCAGATTTTCTTCCCCTAGGAGGAACACTTGTTCCAACTTCTTACAGCCCCACATTTCTAGAATTGTAAGAAGTGGCAAAGCCTCCGGCACTGATGGCATCGAGAGGAAATAAACAATATCCGTACAACTACGAATTTTATTGTATTCAAGGTTAGCAAAACAATCATATCGGCCTGGAGTTTTCCTGAGATTGATCAAACCCGATGTATTTGCAATATATATAACTTCATGACAGCTGTTGATTTCTAACCTCTTCACATGCTGGAAACTTTCTCTAGCCAACAAATCAATTATTTGCTTTGCCAGACTTTCTTCCAACACCAAGTGTTCAACACCCACTACAATTTTTTGAATCCAATCCACTACATGTTTTGCATTTAATACACATTGTATCGTCTTAGAGTACTGATTAGGAGGAATAGAGGACATAAGACGATTATCCGGCGTTATGCGTATGAAATATTCTTTCAGGTCCCAGAAGACTTGTATCTTTTGGGATAGCCTTGTCAGAGATGATATCAACTCTTAGCGAGGTCAAATTCTGCATCGCCTTCAATTCAACAAGTGAAACATTTCTCATCTCGTTCAACTTTGTTTCCCACTTCCCATCTAACTCTATGACAACCCATCATGTCAAGTTCTTCTAACTCAACAAAATTTGATAGAGTGCCTGGTGCAATACTTGTAATGGATTTACAACAGTTTAAATCCAACACTTGAGCTTCTCTAGCCTTCTTAATTCAGCTGGAAAAACAGTAAATCTTGAATATCTCAAGCTCAGAATCTCAAGGTTAACTAGCTCACCTATCATTGATATATTCTCCATCTCGCAATCAATCAATCTTAGCATGCGCAAATTCTTCAGCAATCCAATTGATGAAGGCAACAGCGAAAATTTCATGCGAGATATTTCGATTGTTTTAAGCGCTCTCGACCCTTGAAAAATACCATCATGCAGAGAGACAGACGTTTTCCATGTTTCTAATTCTAAGAGCTCCAATCTTGGGCAATTTAATGTTTTTGGATGCTTTACAGTTGTAGTTAAGCGTACTGAAATGCAGGTCACCTCTTCATGGTGAATATCCCTCGGCCACTCTTTTAGCTTAAAATCATGGTTTATCCCAAAAAGATGTTGTTCTCTAGATGTAATATATATGGCTATATCTCGAAAAGCATCATGCATTATGACCGAGCTATCGTCCTTGCCCTTTTGTAGCAGGAAATAGTTTGTGAGCTTATAAACTAAGAAGTTCACCCTTATCTTAGCTTCTTTAAGACTATTAACGTCTATGAACATGCCCAAACTCATTCCACGTATGGCAAGAATTTCCAGAGGTATAGAGTAGTCTTCTGGGAATAAACAACAATGTAAATATAACTTCCTCGCTTCATCACTCTCTATATGATCGTAAGAAAGCTTCAAAGATTTAAATACATCTCCCAATCCTGTGATGTTGTTTGGCAGGACTGATCTTAGTTGTGCAAGTCCACCTATCCAATTTTCCTGACTTTTGTCCTTCAATGTACTTGCAACAGTTAATATTGCAAGGGGTAATCCCCCACATTCCTTTGCAATTTCTTGTGCAATTTTATTCAGGACAGGATCGTTGATTCTGTCACCAACATTTCTTCTAAAGAGATCCCATGATTCTTTTTTGGACAATGACTTTATTGTGAAAATCTTTATCCCCTTCAAAAGCAAATAAGAGCATACTTCGTGGCTTCTCGATGTTACTATGACCTTACAACCTTCGTGCTCCTTTCCCAAGGGAATTCCTATTTTTTCCAGATCCAGCTTTTGCCAAACATCGTCTAAAACTAGGAGAATTTTATTCTTCATCTTTAATCTTGCTTTCAGTTTGTTAGCCCTCATCATCTCACTCCTTTCATCGAGCTTTAGGCCCAATGCTTCTGCAATTAAGGATTGAAGCTTTTCCATGTTGATTGCTGGGTAACTATCACGGACACAATCTTATTAAACAAAAAATTTTCCTTCGACCTTTGCAATAACTTTTTCGACCATTCTCGACTTGCCAACACCACCTGGACCACATCGCAATCATATTGATCTCCTCATCATTTAGAGATTCGATGATATTAGCCACGACTAATTGTCTTGACATACCATCATCAGAGTCTATCTTGCTCCTAATCCACGACTCAACTGGAGGAGCAAGATGGGTAAATTTCTCATAATTTCTCCCGTCATTTCGTTGATGAATGACAGTATTAGTCATCTTCTTAGCTTTCCTACTCAACACATAACGCGAAATCAAACATTGCCTTAGGCATCCTTTTCCAATATCAGCTTCACTTGGAAAAATAGTGGTGGTCACTTTTTGGATTTCAGTTGTGTTTCTTAGCCAGTCCTTAACACCATCTCCAACAATTTCCAAATTACTCTCAACCTCCTCCTTTGACTGTTCCACATCTTCTCTAAGCTTATTCAGCTTCTCCATTTCAACTTTCAGATTCTGGATGTTGCTCCTATAAGAAATCAGATAACCAAGTTGTCGTCCAATTGGTTTGACTATGTAGTCCATAATTGGCTCTAGAACAGTTGTTATAACTTGTAACGCCATTTGCTCTTCAAGCTTCGTACTGATAACTGATTCTTTCCGGTCACTATGCTTGCTTTCCTCTTTTTCTTTATCTTTATTTGTTTCCTGCATATAAATAAAGACAACATGAACAGAGATGTAGAAGTTTTCTCACATTTCACAAGCAGCAATTTCGCTAACTTTGACTCATTGTGAACAAATACAGAGAAAATCAGTGATGACAGAAAAAAAAAAAAAAAAGAGGAAAATTCCTGAAAATGATATATTGTTACTGTGAATTTGACCCCTACAATATCTACCATAATCAGGTCATGTGTCCCCAGAAGTATAATAAAAGTCAGAGTGGACTGACTATTTGAATTTGAGTAAAAGATCAAAATATGAAAGATTAGACGAACTCGTTTTTGGGATGTGAAACTTTTGTCTGTCCTTTACCTTATCAAACGCATAAACATAACTGGAGGAAATTCTAACTTCTGGTAGGATAATTGGACTGGTCTTTGGAAGCTTGCTCAATTAGCTCTCCTAATCAGTTGGACCATCTAATTTGGACAGCCAATACAGATGGAAAATTTAGTTGTAAATCAGCAACGACAACAAAGAACCCAGTATAATCCCACTGATTGGTGTATGGACAAAGGGATTAAAAAATTAGAGGTGTAATGTGACTCAAAACATTTGGTTGACTGGATTCTAAATAATAGTGATCCTCCATGGAACCTATGGGATACAGTGATAAAGATCATAAACCAGTTGAATCAGCTTGACATATGGAGAATAAAACATTGTTGCAAGGCGGGCAACAAGGTTGCTGACAGCTTAGCAAATTGGGTCAGAAATGCAAAGAGCTGACATGGATCATAGATAGCCAACAACTTCCCAAAGAAGCAAAGGGTGAACACTAAACATAGATAGATTGCAATTTTCATCTTTTAGAATGAAGCTTCACAAAAACTCTTTCTTTTTGGATAGTAACATGTATTGAAAGATAATGTATCTTTCTGATGTTCCTTGAAGGTGTACTATGTATAGGAGAGGCCAAGGTCATACCTCTCAACATAGTTAGAATTTTTTGAGAGCTTACACTGAAATCCTTCTAACTATTTTAAATAGAGCATGTTTCATTGTAAGTCAAAATTGTATTTGTTGATTAATATATTACATCCATGCTCTAGCAAGTAGAGAGGATGATTTAACCAGAAAAAAAACAAAAGACGGTTAAGGTTAGCTATACAAAACATTTCTTGCATCACTAGAGGATATTTAGGCCGTGAAAACAAGAGAGTTCATCTCTTTTATGAGGATTCACAACGATTGGTAAATAAAGTCGGGGTCGCCATAAACTAGCTTTTACTTTGAATTTCTTCATCGTTTCTTTCAAATGTAAAGCTTGTAGGTTTGTACTACGTATAAAAATCCATTTTCTCTTGTTAAAGTTGCTCGAGCTTATCTCCTCTCGATCATTTCACTTCTCGATTTCTTCCATTGCTCTTGAAGATAGTATTATTGAATGTCCACTAACTGAAACAATGGGCTTGGAGTTATGCTAGGGTTAGGTTTATTTTAAATAAAAAAAATATCATTTTCATTGCACAGGAGGGTTGGGAATGGGGTAGCGGGATTGAACCACACCTATTTTGTGGGAGACTCCCGCCAATACCACTAGACTAAGCTTTGGCAGTGAAAAAAAAGAAGCTCTGTGTTATAAAGTATTGCAGAGAAAGAGAGGGAGAGGGAATTCTTATTGATATGAGATGATTTACAATGGGGTAAGACCCCTCTATTTATAGGGGAAAAATGACTTAGTCACAAAGTAAAACTCTCTACAAGATAGACATTCACTCCAAATAGAATTCTATTCATAACACTCCCACTTGAATGTCTACTCAATAAGTAATGTGCCTCATTAAAACCTTAACTAAAATAAAACCCAATGGGAAAAAAATTCTAGAAAAGGAAAAAGAGTACACATATCTAATAATACGCCTTTTGGTTGCCTCGTTAAAAACCTTGCAAGGAAAACCCAGTAGGACAAAACCTTGTAAGGGAAAAAGAGTACAACGCGCATTAACTCCCCCTGATGAGAGCATCAATTCACATCCTTGAGCCTTCGCATTCCAATCTTGTGCACCATCTTCAAAAGATCTTTGGTAGAGATTTGATGAACAAATCAGCCATATTAACTTGAATGAATATATTGCACCTTGAAATCATCATTCTTGATAGATATATAATGTCTTCATATAATGTCGTGGAATGGCTTTTCAATATCTCCATAGAGATTCACGCTATCATATTATCATGCTTATAATTATAGCAAGATACATATATGCACAAATTGCAATGAGGATGTGGTACTTCATGATCAAGAATTGTATATGCTTCAAGCAATTTAAATCCTTCATGGATTGTCATATAAGTTAAGTCATGTAAGCCATATAATAGACTTTAGATGCATATCAAGTTTTCATGTCATGCTAGACATATAAGATATTGAAAACTGTTTGCACATATCATTGACTTTATACTTTCAAATATTTGAACTACATGTTCAAAATTGCATGTCTTTCATATGAATTCAAATTATACTTGAATTGTGGCTCTTCCATTTGGCCAATATTTTTGTGTCTATATTCAATAGACTTAAGATCCTCATATATCTTAGCGCTATGATAGATGTCGTCGACAAATATTTTATATCGGTTCCAACCTCCTTATTTTTCATAAAGACATAACATAGAGATCTCTTCATTCATATATTCAGGTACCTGAATCTCTCATGAGATTTTATGAAGTGTTATGTCATGTGATCTTCTCGATCACTTGCCTCCTTTATTATGATCATTTTGATCATTTGCTCATCTTCTTTATCAAGAAGTTTATTTGAAACTGATTGTCTATACGCTTTAAACTTACCATAGACTTTGTCCTTCTAGGACTTATATTAATAGGAGCATTTGCAATGAGAATATAGTTACTTTCTTTGGGTCAGCAAATGCGTCTGGCATGCTTTGCAATAAATTGCACATGAATTATCCTCTTATGAACTTCAAGTTCATATTAGTTTATTCGAGGATCTAGATGTACACATGATAATTCATTCTACGTAACTTTTTCTCAACTGTTTATCTTGTCTCCCCCTCATGTTAGAAAAACTAACTTGTTTCCTCAACTTTGAGAACCCATCTTGTGCGTTATGGTGTTAATCAAAATATACACCGCACATCAATGATAATAAGATAGAATTATTTGGTTCCTGACCATGAACCACTTTTGAGGGGAGGAATTAATATACTTTCGTATATAACGTATATCAAACTGATATACAAAACTTTGTTCTCATAAGCAAATGTTTAGCTATTAAGTGGAGCCACTCAATAAATCATTTTGCTAAATTAGCTGCGATGTAGACCAACTTATCAAGATGAACTTCTTGAATAGAAAATTTGGAATATGCTCTAAATTAAATTATTGAGCAAGTTACCTCGCAAACACCATGTTGCGGGTTAATAATAATCGCACATGTAACCATCTCATAGATGCATCTTATGTGGTATACATGGCAGGTGAATGGGCCCATATTCACCTTTGATATTTCCAGCATTCATGGGATTCAATCCCAATTTTAGTTGATCTATTAATTAATGAGAACAAGCAATATAAGAGAATTCGTAAAGAACTTTCTAGTTCTTTAATATTTACCCATGTGAATTCTCTATTATTTTTTTCACATCATACTTAAATTGACATGGCTAAACCAATTATGCCAACTGAATAAATTATCAATATTGATAAACTTCAGATTTACACCATGACGTGTGTAATTATCAATAAACTTCAAGTTTATTATGATATGGATTTTTATATCAATGAACTTCTCTTTATTGTGGCATTCTTTTGTTTGTGTAGTACAAACTGGAGAATAAAGCGGGTAGCTTTTCACACACATATTACCCCACTACAAGTTGTAGTAATAGAAGATATTAAATCTTTCTTTTATTTATAGTCTCAATATAATCAACCGCTTTCGCGTATACTTTGGAAATTGAATAAGTTTCTTTGAGACTTACTACACCACAATATTCATCATGAATTTAATCATGGCAAGGCATAGAAATTTTACCACAATCATACATGAATTTAATCATATGGTTAACGTCTCTTTCAAGGAAAAATTTGTACCAGTATGGTCATGGTGAAAATCATTATAAGCAAGATATGTTGCTTCAACTACTTTTGCCCTGTAATAATTACATTACCAAAATATTTTGGCATAACCACAATAGGTAGGTGGTCAATGACCATTCATGCAATAATAATAAAATTATTTTCTTATTTCCTCTCAAATCTCCTTCTAGAGGTGAGTGTGGCATATTCACTACCACTAGCACGTTTATATTCTTCCAAGAATGAATATATATTCATAAATCAGATGTTGTCACATTCACATCGTGAATGGACCATAATCATCTATATGTGCTTTATAAAGTCTCATGTCAAATTGATGACAAATATTACTTTCACATAGTGAAGGATTATTTTAAGAATCCTTATTATTCTCAGTATCACAATGATGACGATTATAATTTCGTCTATTGCCACGTCCACATCCATTGATACCTTCATAGTAATAATTTTTGTCTTCTTTCAGACTTATCACATACTGCTATCACATTCTCTAAAGGGAATGAGAATAGAGCAAATTCAATGAGACGGATTTTCAATTCTTTGCCCACAATCATACATGAATTTAATCATGGCAAGGCATAGAAATTTTACCACTTTGGGTGGTTATAATTTCTTTCAAACTCCATTAGAGTTGCAAACAAAATTTATCGTCTTTGCTGGTATATAAAATCAAATTATAGAATTTCAAGAATTTAAAATTGAAAAATAAAGTAAAATACTTACCTTAAATCCAGAATTTAATCATGAAGGAAGTTCATAGAATAATTGACAATCATTATGCTCAATCCAAAGCTTCTACTCAATTGGTTAGAGTCTCGTGCTGATAACGTGTTATAAAACATAAAAGAAGAAGAAGAGTATTGCAGAGAAAGAGAGAGAGGGATTCTTATTGATATGAGATGATTTACAATGGGGTAAGACCCCTCTATTTATAGGGGAAAAATGACTTAGCCACAAAGTAAAACTCTCTACAAGATAGACATTCACTCCAAATAGAATTCTATTCATAACACTCTGCATATTCTTCCTTCCTCTTTCTTTTTTTCTAATTTTTATTTGAAGAAAAATAAAAAATGATAAATAAGTACAACATTGCCATACTTTTCTCTTCAATATTCTAGGTTTTCTTTATTTGTTTCTCGGTTTCTCTTAACCAATCCAGAGAGGTGGAAAAGATACTTCAAAAGAAAAAGATAGACAAATATGAATGAGAAAGAAAATTCCACAACAGGAACAAAGGAACAATTCTTGAACATACCTTTATCAGTAATGCAGAAGAAATCTTAACTGGAATGAAATTCTGCTAAAACAAAACGATGATTCTTAGCCAATTGAGAGTTTCCTTTCTGGTCCAAAAACAAACAGGGAGTGTATCTGAAAACAAGAATAAACTGCCAGAAAGTTAAACCAATTTAATTTTACCCTAATGTTGATAAATGGAAGAAATCTAATCCAGTCGAATCTAATAAAAGAATTTGAACATCCAACCCAAAATTTCAACAACAACGAGCAGTTAAGACCTCTATGTGCTATCATTTGGGCTAAAAAATTGAATCGTATGCATAGTAAAGGGCAACTTATGGATGAGTAAAGAAAGTTCAATCAACTTAATTTCATATATGATCATTAAACTTTACCTATTTTATTCCTAAAGTCACAAACCTAGTTTTAGCTCAAACAATGACTCGCAAAAAATCCTAACAAAAAGCAATCGGTTCTTTGAATCTAACCTTTTAGAAGTCAGATTATCATTATTTATATTGAATTTGAGATTAGTTATTTAATAGTACACTGATTCTTATAGTACTAAATTCAGATATGTTTAGTATTTTTAAAATTTTCTATAACTGTGGGCTTAACTTCAAAGAAGTGACGCTTTTCTTCGCGAGCTTCAAGCACCAAGGACCTTGTCGCTACAAACCCCAACACAGCCACCATTTGAACCATTCCCCCTTCACCCTCAGCACCAAACCTTGAATCTTCGAACCAACTTCTCCAGCATTACTCATTCACAAACAATACCTTCTACCCCATTCGTTGGAAATTTTTACTAAATGCTCTATAATAGGTTTTACTCCGTCGATTGGTGAAGCTTCAGCTAAGTTGCCGACGAAGATGAGAAAATAAACTAGTGCGAAACCTCCATTGTGCATTTTGGGGACGAAGGCATTGTCAAAATGTTTACGTTATTTCCTGGTGTCCGAAGTTTGACTTTCTAGTAAATGGTACCCCTCTGCTCCCCCCCTTTTTTTTTAAGCCCACAATATTTAAATTTTTTCAAATATCAAGAAATAATTAACTTCGTTTTTCCAAAGTTGCCTTTGGAGTAAAGAGTCTAGGAATAGTATGTTATATTTTTAATGAGCAAATTAAATTTAATATGGTCAATTTCATTATTAATTAATATTAAAAGGTGAATTCCTTAATATGTGTAAAAAGAACAAAAAATCACTTAAAGTGAACCGAAGGAAATATTTTTGAGAGACTAATACATAGTTCATTGATTTTGTTGAGATAAAAACAATTATTATGACATTAATGATGCGATTGGTAACGTTTAGTGACCATAAGCGAAATTGATCCTATGAAAGAAAAATTTAACCCCACACTATACAAGGTTGAACTTATTATCTATAATAGCATTGTAGTCATCACGGGTATTGTCATAGCATGTCATCGTGATGCCTTTATATTATTTGATTTTGGTTTTACTTATTCATATGTGCCATCATACTTTGCGTTGAACATGATCATTCCTTTTGAATAACTTGAAATTTGTGTTTATGGCTCTACACTAATTGGGGATTTTATTATAGTAGATTGAGTATATCGGTCTTGTGTAGTTACTGTTCATGGGCACAATATGTTAGTGGACCTCTTGCTGCTTGATATAGTGGACTTTGAGGTAATTCTTGATATAAATTAATTGTCTCCGCATCATGTGATCTTAGATTTTCATACCAAGATTATTACTTTGGCTACACCTGAGGTACCTAGTATGGTATAGGAGGGGTACACTTAGTCTCTTCACGATCGGTTTCTTTCATGAAGCCACAACTAATGGCAGAGAATGAATGTTTGGCTTACGTAACCTTCATTCGAGACACTAGTGTGGAGACTCCTACTAATTCAGTACCTGTTGTAAGGAAGTTCTCATATTGTATTTTGATTTCGCCCAACTCTAGTCCTAAAAAGGATAAGCGGTCGCTGCAAATATAATCCGATCTAAAAGTTCGGAGTCGAATCCCACAGAGAACTAAGGCTTAGCTATATCTGTTTAATATCACTAAGAAGACAAGCTTGAACAATTTCCTAAATTATAAAGATTGAGATTTATATTTCTAACTAATTAACTAGCAAATACTACAAAGCGGTAAAATTATCAACTAACGAGACAAAGGGTTGGAGAATAAATTAAGCAGGTCTAGAGTTATGATTTCCCCAATTGTCGGAATCCTTCTAGCTATGTTCCCTACAATTTTTGCCAATGTATTCTCTACTGATCGTGAGCACTTTAGGTGTTGTAATTCTCTCTCGAGCAACTACAATAATTTACTAGACATATTCTCTTGAACTACGCTAGTTAGCTTTATCTACCCGCTCATTATGACCACGTCAAGGCTTTGTTATTTCTAAACCTACCTTTAAACCCTCCGTATTGATCTCTCACATACGTTAGGAGTGATGTTGTTCAACAACTACCTAAATATGTATCCTTTCCTAAGCAACACATAATAAATAGGCACGGTCAATCGATGGCCATTCAATCAACAACAATAAACACGTAGTTGAACAAGTAGAGAAATCCAATGGCTCAATTATATAAAAACATAACAAGAATTTATCCTACAAAAGGTTCTATCAAAACCCTAGATAACAAATTAGTTATTTATAATAGTATGTAAAACTACAATACTAAAAGTCATAACCAACAATGAAAAATAGAAAGAGGAAAGAAAAACTCGTAGAAGAATTCCCCGCCTTGCTCCTATTGTGTCTCCTATTTTTTTCCTTGTTCTAAACCCTAAAAACTTATCCCCTGCTCCTTTGGACGAACTAAACCTTTTATAGGTTGAGGGGATTGGTCTTGAACTTCCAAAAGTACCCTTCAGATCTGTTTTTCCGTCTGGACTAGCGCGGCCGCGCTAAGGCCGCGCTAGTTGGGTTATATTCTGTCTCCGTCCGCGCCAGGTCCGCAGTTGCAGTTTCAATCGCGTTTTTCAACCTGTTCTGTTTGGTATTTGAAAAAACGTAAAACATGAAAGTTGTAGGCCTTTGAGTTAGCTTTCCAACCATATATTATGGAGCCTAAATGGAGTTCTGAACAAAAAGTTATATCCATTTTACTAGACAGTACGCGATATGCCTACTCGATTCTTCGTTCGCTCTATCATCCGTTGACCCCCAAACACGATCCCGGCTTAATTCCTTGAGCTTTTACTCAGACATCAAAGCTCCAAATCACTTGAATTCATTCTATAACATCTACATAGCTCGGAATCACTCCTACATGGCATAAAACACACAGTTAGCGCAAGACACTAGCGATTAAAGCTCAAACTCAATTAAAGTGCAGTAAATTAGAGTGTAATAAGCGACTAAAATACGTAATTATAGCCTATTATCATATTTGCTATAGAATTATCAAGTATTGCACGTGACAACGATATTAATTTTTGTACCAGGCATTCAGTCCATATCTATCCCACCTCACAGTATGGCTCCTGTAGAGTTGAAAGAGTTCAAGGAGCCGTTGCAGGATTTATAAAATAATGGTTTTATTAGAACAAGTATTCTACCTTGAAGTTCCCTCGTCTTGTTCGTGAAAGGAAGGATGGGCCTATGCAGATGCATATTGATTAGCCACAGTTAAATAAGTTCACCATAAAGAGAAAGTACCATTTTCCGCGCATTGATGAATTATTTGATTAATTGCAGGGTGCTAATTTCTTTTCTAAGATTGACCTGAGGTCGGGGTATCATCGATTGAAGATAAGGGAGTCTGACATTGCTAAGATAGATTTTAGGACTCGTTATGGGAACTATAAGTTTTTTGTCACGTAATTTGGATCGACTAATGCTCCAACAGCCTTTATGGATCTAACAAATAGGGTGTTCAAGTCTTATCTTGATTCTTTAGTTATCGTATTTATTAATGATTCTAGTGTACTCTCGCACCAGAGAGAAGCACGAACAAGTAAACAACACTTACAAGACCATCTTTAGACACTCATGTGACATCAAGTTTATTCCAAGTTCTCAAAGTATGAGTTTTGTTGGATACTACTTGATATTCCTGGGTCATGTGGTGTCTAGTGAAAGCATCAAAGTTGATCTTAAGAAGGTGGAAGCAGTTTAGAATTGACCAAGGCCTACTACTCCAATGGAGAAATGTAGCTTCTTAAGCGTGACAGGGGACTACAAATGGTTCGCAAAAGAATTTTCATCTATAACTACCCCTTTGACTTGGTTAACACCGAAAGGGGTAGAAGAGCTTTTAGAAACTAAAGATCGTGACCATAGCCCCAGCTTTTGACATTGCCTATAGGTTCTAAAGGTATATGATATATTGTGATGCCTCGCAAGTTGGACTTGGTTGTATCTTAATATATGATGGTAAGGTAATGGCATATGCTTGGAGGCAGTTAAAGACCCATGAAAAGAATTATCCCGCTCATGATTTGGAATTTACAACGGTTGTATATACACTTAAGGTTTGGAGGCATTACTTATATGGTGAGTCTTGTGATATTTACATACACCGTGGCAGCCTATACTACATATCTAAGCAGAATGATTTGAATTTGGAGTAGCGTAGATAGCTTGAATTTCTGCTGAGATGCGTCGCTCAGCCTAGGAGGTTCAGTTATTGGCTAATAGACTTGTTAGGATAGATATTTCAAAACTGAGAGGGTACTTGCTTCTGCGGTAGCACAATCCTCTTTACTTGAGTAGATCAAGGCTAGGGCAGTATGACGATCCACGGTAAGTTATACTTAAGGATAAGGTGCAACGAGGGATATTTTCACTCTTTGGACAAGATGGCGCATTGAGGCTTAATGGTAGATTTGTGTTCTTGATGTAGGATTTGTGCTCCTGACGTGGGTGATTTTAGAAGGCTTATACTTGTAGTGGCACATAGCTCGTGGTGTTCTATATACACGGGCTATGAAAATGTATAGGAATTTGAAAGAGTATTACCTGTGGAAGAAGATTAAGAAGCATATTACAATTGTATAGGTCAAAATTTGGACGACCACGACCGCTACTGAGTGTAGCAAAGAACGAGGTCCTTATGATGTACCGTCCTTTGATCGTTATGAATGGTGACAACCAATAGCGGTTAGTGAATGCACGGCGCCTGCAGTAGTGTTAGCATGATAGGGAACAATAGAAATATGTTTTTCCAATATTCCTTGTGGTGTACCTTTTTTAGGGTAAAAAAGGGGATTGTCCCCTATAAAGAGGGGGAAAAACACTCTGTAAGGGGGGATGAAAAAGTGAACACAAACAGACAACTTTGCTCACTAAAACATATCTGAAACATATTCATCATCATCCATCTTGCCAATCGCATTCATTGCAATATTCCTCTATATTTGAGGTTATCATATTTATGAGCAATCATTTGGTGCCGACATATTGACAAGCATTATTCATCTTATTCTTCTCTTGCATCATTTAATCTAGATGTTATTACACTTGGCTGAGATTTACCTCTTAATCTTCATTAATTGATTTAATCAAAGAGGTTTCAATATCTTTTGGTCAAACAATTTGGCGTCGTCTGTGGGGATTTCTTTAGCCAAGATCTTAGTTTCATCTAGATCATAGAAAAGGATAGTCACCTCTTCCCAGCTTTGCACAAACCAACAATGGCAGGAAAGGGAGACGCAAGGTTAAAAGCAATAACATGTGTCACAACCAACCTTCAGGATTCCATCAACGAAGCCGGTAGGAAGGATAACTAAAACACGACACCGAATGCTACACCTGAGGGAGATACCTCACCTTCCCCGCACGAAAGCGTGATTGCTTCATGCGGAAAGGAAGCCTCCACATCTGCAACAGGAGAAGCACCACCAGTTGTGAAAAGACTATTGGAAGAGTGGCTGGCAAACAATCTAAGTATTATACTTGATAAACCCGTTCAAAGGGATATCGGAGGCACAATACACGCAGACGCCGCAACAGTCACCGGCA